CTTCACATTATCTTACATCACTTCACATTATCTTACATCACTTCATATTATCTTATTCAGTTTCACATTATCTCATATCGCTGCAGTTTATCTCACGTTCTTTCACATTATCTCACGTCGCTTTACATTATCTCGTTCCACTTGGTCACTTTTGTCACTTGTTGTCACCTCAGATCACAAAACGTTGTCACAAGTTAGTTTTAGTTGCCTCCCATCAGCTCCTGTCACTTTACATCAGATCGCCTCACATCACTGTAGCGGCGTGAGGCAGCGACTCGATGTTGCCTCACTCTGCTTCACGTTGTCATTCCTTGTTGTGTCACCTCATCTTGTCTCATCACCTCAATGTCTCAAACACAAACTCACCTAAAGGCTAAATCAGGTCACTGATGGAGCCACAACGACAGCTGAGGTTGACAGCCAACTTGGTGTGTCGGGTCCAAGCTCTGATTCACTGTATCGTCTGCTTTAGGCTGAACTATCGGTCAGAGCGTCTGACTATCTGTTGTTGCAGGAGGACGACACTGGTTCATCCCTGTTCTCATTATTTAAACTGTCACACAGCAGAAGCCTAATGGAGGCTCAGTGAGTCTCAGTGATTTAAGTCAGGATCCTCTGATGTAGCTGATAAAAGCGGTAGAATCTGTCAGAGATTCTTTATGTTATCCATAAAGATTTTATGAAGCTGTTTTTATCTAGTTGCATGTCATTTGACAAATATCAAAGCCAGAACCAATTCCCTCCAACTTACATCATTTCCCACAAAGCTTTAAAAGCTGGCTTTCATGAATTCACTAAAGGGTTTTAGCTAATAATGTTTTTGCTGTGAACTTTCTTATTTTATTTTAAAAATTAGTTTTGGGGATTTGTTCTTGTTTTAACTCATTCATATCATTATTTAATCAGTCCCTCCAGGATTTAGCAGGTTTTTGGTGGATTGTTGCAGCTCAAGATTTTACAGCATGTCGCAATGTTTTTAGACATTTTTTGCAATGAACTCGGAGGACAAAGTGAAACTTGTAAAAAATAGTTGATGATTTTCTTTGTATATTAAAATTCGAAGGAAACTTGGTCAGTGAGAATAAAATCACAGTTTGTAAATGTTCACAACTACAACAGAAAAACTTCCTGGAGGGACGGATTAATTCAGGTCAGTTCAGATGATCATCTTTAAGGCTTTTGCAGTTTATACAGAACCATAATTGACCTTTCCTAAGCTCCGCCCCTTTTTGCTCTGTGCTCCAACTACAGTTGAGCACTTAGATGCTATGCTATATGCTAGGCTAATGTATATTGAAAAGACAACCACATTTTGAAAATAGTTATATATTCACAGAAGTTAGCTATATCTGATAGCTAACGTTAGGAAATACTAGATAACTAGATAGTTAATTAACCGTTAGATAGCTAGAATTTGAAGTACAGGAAAGGAGGAAGTT